GAATAAGGATATGCTACACCATATTCATGTTCAGACTTCGATTCATTCAAAGATCGTATGGTAGGCTTTTAAGGTTATCTGCGTACGATTGAATTTGTTGGCCGAGTAGATTTCAAGAATTGCATATAATGCAAGTAGTATGTTATCATTTATCAGGTATAAAATTCCCTTATTTAGTTATGAAAAAATAGATGAAATAAGTTCCAAAATGGAGCTTGATATGAATATCGATAAATTAATATATGATAAAATACATATTATCAGTCTAATCTAAAAATTAGAGATATTAGCCAAAATAAAAACTTACCAGATTGATTGTAAGAAATCTCTTTTTGTCTGTAGACACCAACCAAATAAACAGATCCATGTAAGAAATTATAGCATACCACATCCGGTGAATCATGAAATAGAGATGAAGAGTGATAAGAAATCATATATTCATATTTCTATGATGTGGAAAACCAATTTAATTTTGAATTTCCATATAAGAAGCAGGGGTGTAAATGATTTTCTTATTTTCAGCCCATTCATTATTTTTGGTTACATTGAGATTAATTTGCAAGGTTTAAAAGGCAGTAGTTTTGATGATAATTTGTGGAATGTGTAGTATATTTTAGAATTTAAAATATATGTGGTATTCTATGAAATATACAAACTATCATGGATTGAAGAATATTTATATGTAATTTGCGCCCCTCGGAGCATAACCCATTGGTGCAACGGACAGGAATGAGGTAGTGTCAGTTTTGCTTGCAGCCAGCCACAGTGTAAGGGTTCGATTTCTGAGATATGAAATTAGATTCTTTGTGGGCACTAGTGTACGTCAAGTTTTTGTTCCCTGGTCTGTTGGGATACATCCCGTGATTTAACTCCCGGACGATGCTCTAAAGACAAGGGCGGTGGGGACCCTCAAGGTTGGGGTTCAACCTTTATATTTATATGTAATTTGTACCCGAGACATATTTAAAGAGAGCCCACAAGCCCAATAAAGGTCCATACAAAACCCAATATGTGCATCCCACTGCTAAAATTTAGCAGAGATTGAGCCCCGAGCCAAAAATCTGAAATAACAAGATCAAGAGCATTAGATTTGTTATCTTCATTTTTGTGCTGTAAACTAATTTTTAAAAGATCATCCTATTCCGAAAGTGTTTTCGAGAAAGTTGCATTAGATCAGTTTCGTCTAAAAGTTCTTCTAATTAGAAAAATATTCTGATAAAATTAGTCAAATATGTTTAAAATCAACTTTTACATCTCAAAAGTTTGTTTTGACTTTTCAAAAATCATATCAAATGACCCCTAAATCATGGACAATTGCATCTACAAGTTCCAAGTTTGGCTATAATCGACTACAAGCTCTATATTGGAAGAAAATGCAGTCACAAACTAAAAATCTAGATCAACATCAAATATTTAATGTAATCACTATAGTTTTCACATCCCATTCGATCATTGATCCAGTCAAAGCACTAAATATACAGATCTTTGGTTCAATCAATGTGTCGCTTGTTCAACTGGATGGTAATTATGAAATTAAAAACCTAAATAAATTTGTAGTGAAAAAAGATGAATGGTTAATTGTGTTGTTTTTTATACCTTTTCTTCATGAAAAAATATTTTATTTTCCTTCATAAAATTCTTTCATGTTATAACTTTGTAATTAACTTGATAATATTCGATTTCTTGGAATTATAAATGATTATTTACGAATTTACTCCCATTTTGGCATCTATTTTTAATTTTTTGCCAAACTCATTTTCAATTATATATTTCACGAGGTCTACTATTTTTATTAACATTTCAAATATATATTTCATCAACTTTTAGTAAAATCAAACATACGCTTAGTATTTATCTCGATAGGTCTATCTATTTATTATTATTATTATTATTATTATTATTATTATTATTATTATTATTATTATTATTATTATTATTATTATTCAGTTCAAAGCAATGTTCATTGGACAAATAAAAAGAAAAGTTTGAACTAATGGATAGGATATTAAAAACTTGAACCATAAAAAAAGATTAAAATTTTACTTAACATTTTTAAAATTAATTGAATATTTTTTCTTAAAATATCTAATGTTATGCTAACTAAAAAACTCTAATACTCGGGCCATATAAATTTTGAGTGAAATTTGCATTTCATTATAATAATTGAATTGTTTTTCTTTTAATAATTTTTTTCCTCTTTCTCTCCCTGTTATATATCTATTTTTACATCATTACGTATACAATGATGTCCAAATAACATTACTCATAAATTATAGTCAAAATTTTGCATTTAATTCATGATACCGAAATAAAATAATTTGTAAACTCAAATAGCAAATAGATTTAGCATGTTAACATTCGAGTTAATTAACATAGTGTATACCAAAACATCTATAAAATAATATAGAAACTAAGAAAAATTATTAATATATATTTATAAAGATCACAAGACGTCATTTCTATGCAACATCACAGTATGATAAATGTTTAATGCCTTTGAAATAAGTTTATTGAAAATGTTACTATGATAAAATAAGATACCAATGAAGAGATTATTTAATGGGTACTGAATATGCTTACAGAGAATGATTATGATTTAGATATAATCGTGGTTTATCAATTATTTCTTCAAAGGATGTCTTTCAAGTATCATAACCTTGAATAATTACTTTCCACAAAATGAAAATAAAAAATTACCAAATATATACGTATTGCAAAAGCTGAGAGCATCTCCAATATTGGTAGTGTAAAATAGATCTCAATTGTGATTTAGATTTTCAAAGTGATCAAAATTCTCTTTAATGAAGAGATACAAAGAAAATGCATTTTACATTTTATGTATTTAGCAAGATTATTAATTTACTATATATTGACCGGAATCAAATTATGAAAATTTCTTATTTAAGCGAATACATTTTTTGAGATTTTAGCCCTTGTTTGACAACCATTTTTTGAAGAAAAATAATGTTGTGAATACTTATTTTTAGGAGAACATGTGGTTAAAAAGTAGTGAAAATTTTTAAATTTACATGCAGAATGTAGAAAAAAGAGCTCAAATAATAATTGTCAAACAAGGGTGTTGAAATATTTTCTTAGCCCCTCTATGACGACGATTATTTGAAAACTCTTATTTTTAAACATATATTTTCAACTATTTATTCACACAATAAAATATTCTATACATAAGCTTAAGAATTTTTCCTACTTTTTGATCACATGTTCTTTTAAAAATTACTATTTAAATTTATTTTATTATTTTTTTAAACAATGGTTGTCAAATAGGGGCTTAGAGTTTTGCAATGACAATCAAATAATTTAAAGTTGAAAAATGCTTGTTGCATATTATCATTTACATATTTTTTTACAAATTGATAGAGAAGTCAAAAAGAAATTTCGGTTTTTTATTTTTATTTTTAAAGCAATGTCATTTGAACATCATTGTGTATATAATAATAATGTACAGATAGATGATATAAAAGAGAGTGAGGAAAATGGGAAGGCAAGAAAATAAATTCAGTTATTATAATATATATATATATATCTCTCTCTCTCTCTCTCTTTCATTTTGTTCGTCTATACATCATTATGTACATTATGATGAACAAATAGCATTATTATTATTATTTGGGTAATTGTTACAAAAGTCTCTACTTTTCAAGTTTATTGTGGAAAACGTTATTACTTTTTATTTTTTGGAATCTTCGCTCCTACCTTCCAGCTTTTTTTGCGTTGAACGTCATTTTCATCCATTTTTGATAAATTTATCCTCCTATGCAAATAAAACAAAAAGAAAAGAAAAGAAAAAATAGAGAGCTAATTGCAACCATAGTCCCAAATATTCAAAAAATTACAAATGAGTTACAAATTTTCAAGAAATTACATATTGCAACCATGTAGCCACTTTCGCACTGCCTTCGCCACAAGCTGCGATACTTCTTGTTGTCAAAGAACACTTGGCTCTGATATACTCCGTCCCAGCATGGACTAGTTTAATTGCACCTCAAATGAAAGCTCTCGTATCGATACAATAATGTACTCTATTCATCCCCAAACCTTTTCAATTCAATAGTTTGGGTCTTTTACTGTTCGTCTAAATTCATTGAAGCTTCGGTTGAAACTATTCATTAATTGTCAAAGGTAGATTTAAGCTCCTGTAGGTTTCTAGTTTATTTGTTTAGCCAGGTTCCAGCTCCATCTTTGGAGTTTCATATTTGGCTCGCAGTTTGGTTTTCCTTATTTGAGTTTCATAAGTTCAAATTTGTTGGGGGCTTCTTTGGCTCAGTTCGGCCAGAAGATAGTAGGTCCTTATTCTTCCATTGCAATTTCGTTCAGGTTAAAGGCTGATTTTGGGCGTTGTTTTTAATTTGAACTCAATTTAGTGGTCTTGGTGTTCCTCCATTGAAGTTTGTTATTCATTTGGTGGTTTTGTCCATTGTTGGAGATTTTCATATTGCTGGTTTTGCAGAGAGTTAAACAGGTTTGTAACTCATTTTGTATTTTTTTGAAAATTTGAGACCATGGTTGCAATTAGTTCTCTATTTTTTCTTTTCTTTTCTTTTTATTTTATTTGTACGGAGGATAAAATTGTCAAAATTGATGAAAATGACGTACAGCGCAAAGAAAGCTGAAAGTTAGAGGCGAAGATGTCAAAAAATGAAAGAGAAGAACGTTTTTCACAATAAACTTGAAAGGTAGAGACGTTTTGTGCCAATTATACTTATTTTTTAATTGATCGATGACATTTTGATTCAATATTTCGTCACATTATCTCTTGATAAATAAATTTGTAAATGATAATATACATGCAGAGCAATCTTTTAAAGTTTGTTAAAAGTTAAGGTTTTAGTCGTCATTCGTAAAATGGTTGTGTGCAGCACACAAACATATATGATGATTTACGTATATTGATGAGATATGGTTGGATTAAATTATTTCAATCAAATAATAAAAAAATAAATTTCACCGTCTCTTTTTGTCACCGCAATATGTATATAACTACCAAAACGTGGTCGTATTGGCTCTTTTTCTTCATCTCTGCCGATCTTCCTCGTGTCAGGAACCACACAAAGATCACAGACTCAAACAATCTCTCCGTCGCTCCTCAATGGATCTCTTTCTTCTTGCAATCCTCTCACTTATCTCTCTACACTCACAGGTTCTCTCTCTCTCCCTCTCTTTCTATATTACTTGTATGTATATACTTTGATATTCCCACGGATGAATTTACTAAATCAATTGGATCGTTATGAAGGAAAAAAGATTTAAAATTGGATCTTAAATTGGAAAATTGGAACTTGATAACGGTTTTTACTTCAATCCAGGTGGCCTATGGAGACCCTTCTGTTGTCTTTCTTGATAGCCCAACTCGCAATTACCTTCGTCAGCCATCAGCTGAGGTAGATATTTATTTTTTTGTGGAAATTTTTATTTGAATGATGTACTAATATGTTTTCAACTTCGGATTTTTATGGGTTCTAGTTTTTGTCATTTGTAATGAAAGGTCAGTCTTTATTTCTCGAAAAATTGATTAGTAAGTTAATTTGTAATAATAAAAAAAGATTACTTTGAAGTCGATAAAACTGATTGATAGGTACATTTGTAATGAAAAGATTACTTTAAATTCTTGAAAAATTAATTAACAGGGACACGATACTTGGTTGTGGATATCCTGTGAGTTGTGATCAGTGAGCGGAAAAAATAGAAAAAAGTCAAGGATACATGGTAGCAGACGATCTAAGTTTGAAAGTAAACCAAAATAATAGGTAACAACCTTTGAAACTAAAGCCTTAAATTTTAAAGGCATTCTTTCGGTAATTTGCTTAACTTATTTTCATGTCCTATAAAAACATTATGAATCACTTTGTACAGTGCGTTACCACACACAATAGAACCATACTTTGCTATGTCAATAGGAGATAGAAAGAAAGAGGAACTATTGATCGAGACACCCACTACTTATGCTATACAATACAAAGAAATCCTGTTTAATCCACTAATTCAAGTTTCCTTGGAAACGTGATTGGTTTTCTAAGATCACTCCCGGCTTTAGGCCTTTTATTAGTTTGTCGCGATAAAGCCCCCAGGCAGCTTTATTTTTGAAACGAGGTCCTCGGTAATGCGACATAAAGATTCCTTATTCCTAGTTAGAATTAATTTAATTTAATTTAATTTAATTTTTTATTTTATGGCTGGAGCAGCACTGAACAAGTTGGAGATTCATATTCTTATAGTGTTTCTAATCATAGTTTCAAGGTCAACTTATTTTTTAAGTTTAGTAATGCAGAAGCTTGTCAAACTCGAGGAGCTAGCCCATTCTAAGCCTGTTTATTGGTGTAACTTACGAGCTCAATGGCGTCAACTTTCCAGCATTTCTTATAATGGTTTATTTCCATTTTCTTGGGACTTATTTCTCCTTTTAATGGAAATTGTTATAACTTTGCCTCAAGATGATTGACTGACATGGAAAGGCATTCTGATTTTGGGACTGATAGGTTCATTCTGGAACATGAAATGTGAAAGGGCTAAGGGTAGAGTGCCTAGTACCTAACATCCTGCAGTTGGAATGAGTATCCAAAACATGAACTGTCAATTGGGTTATAAGATAGAAGTTTATGTGCAAGCATCTTTTACTACAATATCTAGTAAAATTCTATTACTACCTCATTGAAAGCCAAGATGAAAGATTTTCCTCCTGTAGTCTGGGAGAAAATATTTCATAGCTGGAAATAAGATTCTTCAATGAATGTGACGGGGTAGCTATTTTAGCTTCAGAATGTAGCATGATGTTTTGAATGCTGGAAGGCTGTAGAAATACTGGTTACTTTTTCTTGATTATGGGGCTTCTGGGAAAATGAGGCAGTTGGTTGTTTTACTGTTTGGAGTCCTGTGGTTGATGCAACTACGCTGTTGAGTATATTTGAAGGCTTAGGATGGGTGTAAAGGGAAGGTGTAGGATATAACTACTTTGTTCTCATGTTGTCTCTGTCGAGAATAAGGAATTGACGACAATGCTCAGTTCATTTCTTTGGAGTGAATACCTTTTTATTCATTTTTCCTGTTCTATGAACCTCTCTTTGATTGTGTAGCCATAAATATAGGAATGAAGGGAAAAAAAGTTGATAGGATCACAGTAAACCACAAGGGTCGAGTATATCACCGCTTGACCTTATTGTCTTCACTTTAAGCAATAAAGATGGTTTTGATGCCTAACTTTTCTTTCAAAAAGCTTTGGGGATGGAGTTTGTTATTTTTTTACTATTGAAATTACATTTATAAACTTATTGTTGAGTAGTTATAAAGGGATTCAAGTATGATAATAAATACTTCCATGAAACAGTGTGTTTTTGACCATTTGTCTTTCAGAACCCATAATTGTGACTTGAAAACTGATGACTTTTTCTATTTATAACTGTCTGTGGTTACCTTATTATTTGTCTAATAAAAGTTCAGCAGTTTAGAAAATGTGGCTCTCACTGGTTTTAAGGCTTAAAAGTTTCAACCTAATGGTGCACACACGTTAATGTAGATTTAAAATTAAGGCAATCCTGTTACACACTGTGTTACTTTACATTGCATAAAAGTGAAGCTTTTCTTTTAGTTTGAGTTGGAGCATACTCAATAGTTTTTGTTACTTTTGCAGACTGATTCACTTACGCTATCAGAAGTTGGTGCTGCTGCATCAGTGTTGCTTGGCTTTGCACCCCCTTCTACACTTTCAACTGCTAGTTCATCAAAGGTAATAAGAAAAATTAGAAATGATGCTCAATAAATTTATCTATTTATCTGCTGTAACTCAATTTTTCCACATATTCTGACTTGTTATTTTGGCAGTTGAATGAGGTGCTTATGCCTAATCCATTTGATAGGCCTCATTCTGTTTTCATGATTGAAGTTACAGGAGTTGAAGGTACGCCCCTTAAACTAAGCTACCCAAAAGCTGCAGCTTATAATTGTTTCCATGCATGGTAAAGTTTTCATTGACTCAAACATGTACAGATTCTCAACTTATGGTTGGCTTAGAGAAATCTGCGTTTAGTAGTTCTCTTAGGGTCAAGGTCTTGGGAAGTGAAGGCAAAGTGGACATTCAACTGTCAGGTAACCGACCTTTTTGATTGATACATGGTTCCCAGTTATGACCATATCAATTGTTACATTCTTTTGTGTATGCAGATGAAAATGAAGTGTCCTTGATCTCTTTGACTGAACGATCACGCCATGCTGAACACTCAGATAAAGAACTAAGTGATTTTGTTAGTCATGGCTCTCTCTCCATCTCTGTGTGTGTGTGCGTGTATGTTCATTAAGGTCAATTGATATGGTCTTTGGTTTATATACTCAGGCATCCTGGTTGGGTGGATCGTACATTGAAGACGTGACAGGACCACTGAATGGAGTGTTGACCGTCCCCATGGCAAATGGTGCTCTTCTCAGACTCCGTATGTCTGAGGTATCAACAGCTCTGTGTCACTTATTAGCAATAAGGACCTCTTTGATGATTTATTGCTCTGTCTCTGTAAAAACCGATTAAAGAACTTTATTTTGAAAATGGCAGAAAGCCGACAGAGAATTTACAACTAGTCTTATGTTTCTCATTAATAATATTCAACGGGCTATGGAGATGCATAAAGGATTGTCTGAAAGTGGGCACAGTCCAGCAGAGCTAATCACTGGAAGATTTGACGGGATTAAGGTTTTTAAGTGTTTCTTCTTTTCTAATTCATTTCAGAACTTATATTATGTTTTGGGTTTCCGTAAACCTGAAAATATATTTTTCAAGAGGCAAGGTATTAATTTCCTGAACAATTGTCTCAAATTTATATACCTGGGTGTGAATCTACATTCGTGATAAGTGGGATAGACTTTAATCTATTTGCGTTTTGTAGAAAACAACCCTTCCTTGAAAGGATATTAATGTGTGTGCATTCGCTCGGGGGGGAGAGAGTTTTATTTGCTTTGGTTATTTCTAAAAACGACTCCTTGCTCTAGTGGCACCCATTTGGTTTGCAGAATCACGCTGAATGTACAAGGCAGACTACTAATAACTATCAGTCCTTTGTTTCCCTATGAACATGGAAAGGATAAAGACTCACTTCCACTTTCCTTCACAAAGCTTCACATTACACCTTCCAAACTTAGTAATGAATTGATCTATTGAATTATATTCAACCAAATATTTAGCACCATAATACAATAAAGAATTCAAATAGTTGCAATAATATTAAGATTTAGTGGATAAAAAACAAGATCTTCAAACTTTCTGCTGGCATGGATGGTGGTAAGTTCAGATGATTTTGATGTTAATCCTGAATCCACATCTTTCCCCCTTTGATCTTCTTAATCCTCTACCAAAAATGTGTCAGGCAGAGGAAAAGAAATGGAATGCGACTTGCGGGGAATATTTTGAGATTTTAGGTAAAGAAATCATTTGGGTATCAGAGGAATGAGCAACTGACAGAATAAAAATTCTTCCGACAACATGATAGGTGATTTGAGCTAGGTGGTAAGTAGTTGCTGGTGGTTGGTGATTGGTAATTGGCAATTGGTGATTGGTAGTCATAGGTCAACATTGGGACATGAGGTAGAGGGTAAAAGAGGGAGGTGGTGGGTTTCTTGAGGTTAGTTTTGTTCTGCTTTCTAGGTTAAAGTAGAATAGGGTTTTGTGTTATTTCCGACTGTAAGGGGTTTTGTGTTATTTCTGACTGTAAGGGGCTCCAATACTTTCTCCGGAAGTCATTTTAATGGAATGGTTTTCTTGCTTATTTTTTCCTACCCTAAAGAAGTTTGAACTGAAGAGTTGGGAAGTTCTTTCCGTCAACGAAAATTCTGCTAAATATGTGCTTCATGCCTTGATGAAAGGAAGATCATGTGTTAGCAATGTAATAGCCAAGTAAACAAAAAAGTCTTCTTCATATTCTCCAGAATAAATTATTAAACTGTGAGCTGATAAACTCTCAGCACATTTTAATCAAAGATTCATAATTTTTTGATCCCATTCCATGAATCCTTTGCTTTTACAAATTTGTAAATCTTCTTATTTAGTCTCTTTTCAACTGGTAAGAATGAAATGAAAATAATAAGTAAATTAATGAGCTTCTGAACATCTAGAATGTTTGAAATAGTCCTCATGAGCCAATTGTGGGTCTTCAGTTGTGGTTCAGTGGTGCAATTCATGCTTTTTATTAGAGTGAAAACGTTGATTAAAAATATCAAAGCGAGTCACTACTTTTGAGTTTAAGTAACAGATAACTGAAGAAATGTTGACAGAGATGACTTTTAGAATTTTTTAAACGAACTTCTTCTAGACACATGTTATTTGAGTCCAATCCTTTACTTCATCAATGTATTTTATTGTCACAGGTTCTAAAAGACCATTATGGAACAGGAGGAGCTTCTCAAGATGGATTGGAATTATTTGTCATTTCTGTTTCAAGAATATATGATTCCTTACAGGCAGCATACAAAGGTCTGGTGTCCTCTTCTGATATGTCGATGTGAATAAATTTAACTGCTCAACTTCTATCTTTTTCTGTTCTGACTGTTCTTAAGAGCTGAATTAGTTTGTTTATGCATCAGCATGCATTTACTTGTTGCTATCCATGCTTCTGAATGTTTGTTGTGCTTGACTTAAAATGTATAGAAACATCTTCTTTCGTGGTATTCTTAGATATGCAGCTGTTTCTTCTATTTAGTTATTGCAAACTATTGATGTCACTGTTTGCTGAAGATTTCTTATTGCTGAAGATTTCTTACTTACGAATCTTATCGATCATATATTCATCATTATTTCTTACTATTGATGTCACTGTTTGCTGAAGATTTCTTACTCATGAATCTTATCGATCATATATTCATCATTAATTCTTGTCCTGGAAATGAATATTTTGTATCATATGAGCAGGCCAACTAGTTGGAGTCATTGTATGTGGTGGACCACATGCCCCAGCATTGGAGAATATGTTAAATGTGATGGTTGCTTCTCGACCATCTGCACGTTGGTTGGAGGAAACTGAAGCCTCAGCTGCTTTTATCAAAATCGCAGAAGTGGCGCTGGTTAGAAAGACACTTGCTTGGATAACAGGAATCATTCTTCTAATTTCTACTCTTTTGGGGGTAAGTTTTTATTGACAGAGAGACCAAACATCATCTTTTATATTTAGTTGAATTGCCACCATATAGCTTACTGCTTTCATTGGTTGTTCTAGTGGAGTTTTTATCTGCGTGTCTGAATTTTTTCTCGTAACCACTTGAAATTTATTCAATAATACTAGTGCTTGGTCGAATATCCAGCATGTAGTTGATCTCGCATTAATTGTAATTGGTTTTTGGATTATATACAAAGTACTGTAAATTTGAGCTGGTTGGAATTTTGTTGGCAACTGAATATAGTATATCTCGAGTGTAAAAGATTTTCTTTGTCCATTTTTATACAAATTATACTACTATTTGGAATAATTTTTGTAATAGAATATATAGATAAAATGTAAAGCTATCATTTGGAATAAATTAAGACTACTTTACCCAAAAAAATCAACTGACATATACTATGGGATGGATAAATTGAAGGTTAGGTTAATCCAATCCTCTGGTGACATATTAAAGAGGAAATATCTGGAGTCCAGGACATAATCTGCTTTTGGTTAACAAAAAAATTTTCCGCTACTCCACACTTCCTTGGGATGTTATCTTCTCTGTACTACAATATTTCTCCTATTATCGTTTACTTTTTACATGATGAGTTCTTGAATAATGTTTTTTGGTGTGAGACTGATAGGAAATATGTCATGTTGAAGCGCTTTCTATTTATGCATATTTTAACTATATGGCTTTTCTGGACTTGAAGATGTTAGTATCTACTGTACATACTAGTAGACAAGCAGTACCTGTCTCGAGTTTTTTAAACTGTGGTTAGCTTTCCATTAATCTAATAGTTGCTTTTTCCATAACATGGTCTCATTGAATCATTTTGTTTGGTGCAGATCCACTTTCTTTTGAATATGCCACTGACCAAGGACACTCTGCTCTATTCTAATGTAAAGCTTGACTAGTTTTTCGTGGAAGCTGTTTATTTTGTTATTTGAACTGCCAGGAGGTCGGGACTGCGATCCTGTGAGATAAATTATTGTGTATCTGCTCTTTCTTCCGTTCGAAATTGGGAAATTCAATCTATACTTTTTCTGTGATTTTGTTCAATTCATTATCGATGGTATGTTCAAGCTGGTCATTTAGTATGTACCAAAAGGGGATAAAAGCTCGGATTCTGGAGAGTGATATATAACTGCGTGTATCTAAATAGCTTAGGCTTTGAGTCTGTAAACTGATGCTCTTAATAATGCAGGCACAAAAGTATTGTTGGTTTTGTTTTGTTTTGTTTTTTTTTTCCCTCCGTATTTATAAAATAAGGCGTTGGCTTGAACTTGTCGCTTCTTGGCATCGCCATTTGTTTCATGACTAACAAATCTGATAATCACATTTACTGATTAGGTTCACGATAAGCAGCATGAGAAGTCTTTGGGGACATGTTGAAGATCAGTACCATGAAGATGGAAATTAAATAAGGAAATTAGGTCTTGAGTGCTTATTTAGAAGCACGATGCAAGTTTAAAACATATTTGTAATAAGATCTGCTGCAGATCGAGCCCTCCTTCAAAGATCCAGGTATCTTGCCCCAGTTCAACGCTCTGATACCACTGAAAGGGGGCCAAAAACCCACACATTAAATGCAAGATACAATTGAGCTCAAAACAGAAAGTAAAACTTGCGGAAAATAAAGAAAATAACAAGATTTCAGTGATAAACACCTAATCCCCTGTTGAGCATCCAATCGAAGTGGATATTGCTCGGTTGCACTAAAGCCCCAAAAATAGGCAATCAAAGGTTACAGAGTTCAATCACTATAAGAATACACAAGAAAGAGACTTATCTCTTCAAAAGGAACCAAAGATCTACTTCAGACTCGCACAGAATCAACAGACCACATTCTTAATCTCAACACATGAGAACTCTAAGTTTCACTCAAGAAAAGATCAATATACAATGATTAATAACCTTCCAAAACATCGAATGAGATGATCGATTATAGAAAATAGGGAAGATTGAAAACCCTAACTCGAGAGAGACGAAGAACTCTCTCGAGCCTCACTCAAGAGTCATGAAAAATGAAAAGTCACTGAGCCAAACGAACAGTCCATCCTATTTATATCACCAGAGCGTAAACCCTTCATCGAACGGTGGGAATTAAGCCAGGTGTCATCATCAGGCAGAATGCCATTTATAAAGGCGTGTTTTCAAAACACGTTTTGTTAGCTGAAAATATGGGAGCACAAATAACAGGGTTCGAGTCTCAACAAAGCCTTATAAAGAAAAAAATAAAATAAAATAAAATAAAAAATAAAATAAAATTATCAGATTAAGATTTTCATATAAAAGTAATAATTAAGGATACACATACCATTTTGCCTCCATCAAGTAAAATTGGAGAGCTACAAAGTCCCGTGAACAGATCTTCCACGGTTGCATAGACCACAGGATTCACAGATCTGGAGATGATGTCCCTATAATCAGGCGGCAACAATCCCTCCCAATCCGTTTCATTTACTGTACTTGAAGTAGAAGATCCAAGTTGAACATTTCGATCATCACTAATCGGAGTACTCCTCCCAGATATAGTAACATTCCAATCATCACTAATTGGAGTAGTCCACCCGGATATAGAGCTGAAACTGGGTTCCCTCGAGGACATTAAAGCAAGTTGCCTGAGTTGTTCCCTACGGAGAACAACTTCCAAAATCTTTCCCAATTATCATAGTTATTAGACATCTAGCTACAAAATCTCGAATCGGAGAATCCCACTTGAATTATTGAAACTTTAGTAACTGAATTGCTTTGGTGTGCTGATTTTAATTCAGACACGTAGAAAGGATTGAAGTCTTGGTCTTGCCGTCCATGGTGAAGCCAGTTAAATGCTGGATCCGGCTGGAAAAAGCATTTGTGAAGTGATCCTACTTGTTGCCCTGATTTTCTTGGTAACTTCGGACTTCATTTTCACTCTAGCTAAATGAAATTGCACCTTCAGTCACTAAACTACTGACAAATTATAATTTTGACCATAATTAAGTAAGACATCATAGTAAATTAAATAATGCTCTCTTGAACTCCAGCACTTTGGTCTGGAATGCATAGATGATACAGTTGGTGTTCTTTAATATCCATTCCACACCTAGAATAGAATTTTAGTTACAGTCAATTTCACCTCGATTTAGAAATAACACACAATTTTCAGTAGCAATACTTTAAAATTATCTAAGACAAACAATTGTAAATCTATTTGAGTCCATTTTTTTTTTTTAAATAAAAATCTAAATCATCAATTGAAATTTTGACGCTAAATAAAAATAAATGTAAACAAAATAAATTTTAACAGATGGAAAG